CCACAAGAAAACCTATCGCGTCTGCACTACCTCGAACCACGCTATCTGCCTCCTTGATCGAAAGTGTCGCCGGCTTCAGCGCTGGCGTTGTGTCATGCCTCGCTGCGCATCCTCTCGATCTGCTGAAGAACCGCTTACAGCTCAACACCAAGAGTCGCTCGCGCCCGGGCGACTCATTCCGGATCCTACGCAATGTGATAAGAGATGAAGGTGGCGCAAAGGCGCTGTATAGAGGGCTATGGCCCAATCTATTGGGCAATAGTTTGGGTTGGGGGTTATATTTCTTGTTCTATGGGAACTTGAAGGAGATGTTTCAGAAGAGGCGAGGGCATGGGGAGATGTTGGGGAGTGCGGAGTTTTTCTCTGCTAGTATCATTGCTGGTATGAGGCATCCCATCCGTCAAGGAAGCAGACCTAGAGTTGCTAACAATACTGTATAGGACTCCTCACAGGTGCCTGCACAAATCCCATCTGGGTCGTTAAAACACGCATGCTCGAGCGCGGCGCAAACCACCCTTCTGCATATAAATCCATGTCCTTTGGTCTCCGTCACGTCTACGCAACCCGCGGCTTGAAAGGGCTGTGGGCAGGTTTTATCCCATCGTCGCTGGGGGTACTGCATGGAGCGGTGCAATTCAGCATCTACGAGAACATGAAGAAACATCGAGGGACACAAGTTGGCGGACAAGACAATCTGAGCAATTGGGAGTATGTGTATATGAGTGGTGGGAGTAAACTGCTTGCGGGCGCCATTACGTATCCGTATCAGCCTATCCGGGCAAGGCTGCAGCAGTATGATGCGGCGAAACAGTATAGCGGACTTTGGGATGTGCTGAGGAAGACTTATAGGAATGAGGGGTTTTTGGCATTTTATAAAGGGTAAGTTTGTATTGGAGGGACGATGTTTATGTGTGAGTGGGCGAAAGCTAACGAGATGCAGTGTTATTCCAAATACACTTCGAGTCATTCCGACGACGATTGTTACGTTTTTGGTCTATGAGAATACGAAGTTATACCTGCCGAAGGTATTCCAGGAAGATGAACATCTAAGTCATGAGGAAGATTAGTTGCCTGAACGGAGTCGAACATGGCAACGTATACCTGCAAGCCCTTGAGACCTTTAGAATTACTCTGTAGACGCAACAACCACTCCACGCCGCTCAACCTCGTCTCAAATCAGGATGCGCTGTTACGGTCGTCTCGCGCTTTCACACCTCGTTTCGTTTGTCCAGGCAAAACAGTGGAGGTGGACGAGTCAATGACAATCGCGTCCGAATGACCAAAGCCTTGGTACCCAGTGAAGGGTCAGTGGGGCTGTTTGACTTTCACTTGGGCTGTAGCCTCTAGATTGTCCTATTTATCAGGACGAATTTTTCTGGGTAGATTGATCCAATACACGCACACGAGCGCAGAGTGCAATACTCATATACCATCAGGAGAGGTCTTGCACTCTCCCAGAGCTTGAAGCAATTCTTATACACGACCGCCACAACCATCGATACGATAAATGTAATAGTCATGGCGCCATCTATCGAAGAACTCCGTCTCAAACGCACTGGCACTATCCACTCCATATGTGGATCGTGCGAATTAGTCACGTATAAAGCTACATCGGTTCGCGTCGCAGCGTTCACCCGACTTCGAGACCTTACCATCTTTGCCTCTGGTCGACAATCTCTCAAGCCCTACATCACCCACCGATCAGAACGCAGCCGCTCTCCCGAAGACTCTGCCGCATAAGCCTCTTTCCAACACAGCCAACCACGCTCAGGAGCTGTCCCAATCGGACGACCCAGCTACCAAATACGGCACTATTTTCGATGGCTTGGATGTTACGACACCTGCCCTCCGGCTGGTAAACTCAGCTAGTGGTGATTCAACTACGGTGCCTGGTCCGGTACACAAGGGACGAAACTTGACACTTACGGGTGCTGGTAGGCGCCGGGTATCAGTTTACCGGTGGACTGAATAATATCTTTCGGGCGAAGTAAGATAGTCCGATATGGGGATTAGCGGACATATCATTGATGTTTTGAAACTGTGGGGGGTGATTGGGGAGAATGTGCAGCGTTAGACTGGCTGTTTGGTGGGCAACGTACCTATGTTGCTCAGTCATGCACTTGCTACACTAGTGGTAAAAGAGTCAGTTTCAGTACAAACACGACGACATTTCCGGTGGCACTCTACATCATTTGATATACAGGGAAATACAGTGATTAAACTCCACGTCAGGATTATGGACTGTGGTCTAGTAAGCATGCAGACAGGGGCTTTGATCTAATATGGCGAGTGTGTAGATATGGCCGAAGCCAGTCGAGTCGACTCTAAGGACTTAACAGAGCTAGAAGGCTATATTGCTGGGCGAGATCAGCATATCAATGGAAATGCAGCCCGGTACAGCAACAAAATGAGGAGTGTCATGGAATTGGTATGATCAGAGAGCATCAAGGCCAAGTCAGATCATCCAATGCGCCACTTGTTGACAGCCAACACTGCCTTGGATCAGTTGGACAGTTGACATGTGTAGCAGGTGCCTCAGTTCAGACATGGAAGTGTTGGCGTGACGTTTCAGATGGAATAGACGTCGCCCGTGACTTCAGCAACACGTGTGCACGCGCTTATCGATAAGTTCCCGCTAATGTTCCAGGTGTTCACATCACTCACAAACCCCCACACTTTCGCGACCTGTTCTCATAGCCAATTCCATATCCACAACACCGCCGCTGCAGACTGCATTCGTAATCTTGCCTTACATCGAGTCCGCATCATACCTATCAACCATGGAGTCACCCGACACCTTCACCCTCCTCCCGCTGGAGATGGATCCCACCACCAAAGCCATTTCCGCGACCAGCAACCTCAGCAACGCGCTCACGACCGAACTCGCTGCCCTCAACGCCCTACACAAAGGCCTCCTCAATGTAGAAACACCCACCGGAACACCTCCTCCACCCGTCCCCGTCAACCCAAAGCGCTCGGCGCAAATCAGCAAATTGCGCGAGTCCGGTAACACAGAGTTCCGCAAAGGCAACGCCGGTCAAGCGGTGAAGTTATACAGCCTCGCCATCGACATGGCGCTGGGACGACCGCATTGGGAACCTTCAGGTCTTGTGAGGGAAGAAGTCTCCAGCTTGTTGAGCAATCGCGCGCAGGCAAATATGGCACAACAGAACTGGGCAGAGGGTGCGGTGGACGCAGAGGCAAGCGTGGAGATGAAGAAGGTTGGAAATGCAAAGGGTTGGTGGCGGAGGGGCAAGTGTCTACTTGAGATGGGTAGGCTGGATGAGGCGGAGCAGTGGGTCAAGCAGGGTTTGGAGTTTGAAGCTACAGAGCAGGATCTGGTCAACCTGAAGGCTGAGATTGAGAAGAAGAGGACTGGGGTGTTGTAAGACATGTCTGTGAGAACATACAGGAGTGGAGGCTATGACATTCGTTAGAGTGTCGTGTCTCAATGTGCATTATATGGCGTTAGGCGACGAGGCGCAATACATATTTCAATGGAGGCTGGGTCTCAATCAGTCCAGGCTCTGTTTGCCTAGTTCAATGGAGCTTATTATTCTTTGATGCCCTGGGCAATGCTGTGCTGCATCAGTCTGTCTTCACGCAGTTAGACTCTACGAGAGTCTCCCAAGTGTAGGCTTAGTGTATTGACAGCAGGAAGACTTTACGAAGTACATTATCAAGTTCTTCCATCTGGGCATGCTTCGTGAAATATATAGCTTATCACCTCACGTGCTCTTCTCAATACCAATCTCATTGGTCCAAGGAAATACCGGATAACAAAAAGGTTGTTTGTCAACCCAGTTCTCAATTCTATCCGGCAGCCACCCGCTGCGAAACGCCATTCCATTTACCGCCTTTTTGGGTCCACCAAGGTGTATACTGTGACCAAGATCACAATCGCTTCCGTGTTAGGTGAACTGGAAATAGCTCTCATTGTCTTCACATGCTTTCTTGCCTTCTTCGTACGTGTTCGTTCGGATACTGGCATGATGGCTCACATCATCCCACTGCTCAAGAGTATCTGGGAGGATGTCTTTGATGAATCGGTTATACCGTTCGGAGAGTATTAATGGCTGCTGCAACTGCGTCAGTTGTTTGTTATGTTCATGTCGTTCGAACGTATGTAGCACATACATGAGTTTTGTTCCTGGCAAGCTCGAAGTTGGCAAGCTGGTTCATCTCGTTGGGCTGCATATGGTGCATCGTTACGATAGGCTGACAACAATGTCTTGGTCCAAAGGGAAGAGTCGCCGGCTTCTCCCTGTTCATAGTTAGCCAGGAACGTTTAAGTAGGATTCCCATCTTCTTAAGCACAGCTCCGATGAGAAAATCACCACAGCATTCGTCGTGCATTGGCTTATTCCAGCTAACAGCAAGTCCTTTGTTCAACACTGCCATGTCGTACATGATCGCTTGAGATAATAGGATGCCACTACCCCCGTGTGCGAACTTGACATCGCCCACATGAGCAGGGGATCCGAGGTATAGTTTATTGGAGGAAGGATCTGGCAGCTGTTGTGTCCATGTGAGAAGGTTGGGCCTTACCACGTATGTGTCGGCGTCCACCATATGACACCAGTCTTTGTCTGGATGCGTTGCATAGCTATAAGCTTCTCCAGTATATGAAGCTGCTTGTACTTGTCCAGCGTCCCGGCTGCTAAATCAGTTGTAACTCGCGGATCACGGGCATCTTTCAACATAGGCTCAATCTGTCCATATTTCTTCGCCTCTTTGTTGCCAGCTGGTTTTGATTAATTGTTGTAATGGATACATACCCAATTGAGCACAAGGACAGTAATAAATAAATACAGCGACAATCACCAACGGACCTGAGATCAACAACTGAGATTTTCAGAGATGCTTAGTGAGAATGGTGAGAAGAATCAAACTTCAGAGTCTGACCACGGAGAAAAGACCTTGCTTGATGCTTTTTCTTTGGTCAGAGGCTCATAAACCTCCGAAGTGATGCAAAAAGAAGTGCGATTAGCAAAAAAGGATGGACTTGCAGGGAATCGAACCCTGGACCACTCACATGCGTAGATCCTAGAAGGAATGCTAAGCGAGTATTATACCACTAAACCACAAGCCCAGATGTTGTTTGATGGAAAGTTTGGGGCTTTGAAAATATCTATAGTTGTAAATCGATGCAGCTGACAGCACTGTTAAGCCGTAACATCGAAAATCGATCTTAGAGCCCCACATGCAAGTCCGACCCACAGCCTAGAGGGGTTAGTATGGAACAACATAGAGCAACCGTTCTACAGTGATTCAATGCCGAGTTGCGTGCCGAGTTGCGCGGAACTCTGGCAGAGTGCCTCGTTATTCAACTACATGGCATGTTCATGGCAAGTCCCACACAGCCATGCACCCTTGACTTATCGGCAAACAATACTTCTCAACACCTATCCCATCCTCACCACGCCAAACACCTTCCTTATATTCCCCAGTCGCCCCGTGACCTCAGCTCGCTTCGCCACATCATTTGATTTTCCACAAGTCCAACTCTGCTCTTTTCGTATCCTTTCTCTTTCATTGGCAACGCGTGCCACGTTCGCATACTCGACGCTGTCCCTGTATCTATGAATTGGTATACTTATAATAGCGTAATACTTACACACGCCTGCGCAATTATCAAGTATAACCGCTCGAAACATGGTGTTTTATCCACATTCTTGGCGTTGTTCTGGTAATAGTTCACTTGGAGCCTGGTCCCCGGCCTTATGGTATGAAGCCCATTACCCTCTCACTGTAGTGCACTTTATACTTATGGTATGCTTGGTAGAGGCGAATGATCGTACGAGAATACTCCCACGGTGACCCAATGCACTACCTACCACTGGGTATCGGTGTGTTCCTCGGAACACCCAGTTTTCAAGTACAACCTTTCTCTTGTAGCGCGACAGCGGGCCACACGTTCGCTCCACGGTAGTTGCACATTGCTGACCCCAGATGGCTGGAGACCTTGCATAGACCACTTCCGCTGAACGAGTGTTGGTTCAGATGCGGACTGCAGGGAGTGGCAACATCCACGGACGCCACAGAAGCTGCGCTGATGACTGACCACATACCATATGCCACAATTGGATGGCGTCTCGGTATTCGCAACAGACACATCAGTGTCCACGCAGGCTGCACACTATCATGGAACCCAGAAGTTCGCACGGATCTCTAGCATCAGAACAATATTCGGAATCTTCGATAATTGCTGCGATTTGACCAACATTGGAAGGTCCATGTATTGATCGGATCCACCATCGTGCTTTCGTCAGGCTGGCGCTCGAACTGGCTGGCCGCTCATCAAAGCCGCAAGGTCTGTCTAAGGCATTTTTCCATGGCAGCTACATCATTTCAGAGGGACAGCAGCCAGTGGTGTAGTAAAAATTCACTTTATTACAAGATATTTGTACTGACATTACCCAGCATCGTTGCAGCTGTTGCCTGAGCAGGGAAGAAAACATATTTCGCAGTGAACAGCGCCCACTAGCTTCGCAAATATTCTACTAGGTGACATAGCAGATGCGCGGAGCTCCTGCCAATGCAAAAACATATGGTAATATCGATAGTACGCCGTGTGGCATATCAATATCGGCTCGGTTCGTAGAATGGAGGGTCGGCTCGTGACTTTATTCGGCAAACGTTCGCCAATGGCTCGCATCTGGACTCGATTCTATTAGGTACTTCAGCTGTCCGGGGTCCCGATAAGCTACGTGCAACATGGCGTGCATTTTTCAGCCTGATTGTAAAGACCGCCCTCTCGCTCTCATCGTCACAAGCTCTGGATCACTTGGATATCCCAAGGACTCAGGAGAAGATGAGAGACATGGCAATTCTGGGCGATGGGTAACGATTGCATGAATATCGGCGTCTAGGGTTCTCTGTTAATAGTTTCGTTTGCTCTCCTGTATCGAAATCTTTCGACTACACATGGGCCCGACGCCTCAATGGTCCTGGGTCAGCTTGGGCGTTCAGGCTTCGCATCGCGCATCCGCTTCGAGTAAGCCAAAAGTCATATTTCGGCTGTGCACATTCAGCTTATATGCAGTCAAACACGAATCCGGCGTAGAATTTTATGACATGAGGCTCAAACAAAGCAGCTGCGTGTATATAGCTTTCCGACCTACTACGATACTGAGGTCATTACTGTATATTTACCAAGCCTTGCTTGATCACGCATACTTGCAATCCAGCTGCTCCAATCATATTGGGAAGCATTGTCTACTATAGATCAACATGGGTGAACCAACACAGGAAATACCCCGCGAAACTCGTTCGGCGCTTCTCAAGTACGACGAAATGCACCACGATGGCATTGAGGCTTATGAATACGACGACCTCCCGCCCACCAAGAAGCGTATACGACTTCTTCGTTTGCTCAGTGGCGTGTTGCAGAGTCCTCATGTACTGTGCGAGATCTTCGAAGCCGAGTTTCCCGAAGAAGACACGCAAACCGAACACACAGATCGGCTACCTAAGGTCGTCAAGGACGGTGTGCTCAAAAAGCCGATCAAATATGAAGCTTTGTCCTGGAGATGGGGAGATGAAGACAATAGCCAATACACGATTATGATACGCGAACACGGAGGGATGTCTCAAAAGAGGGTATCCAAAACGCTCGGCCTAGCGTTGAAGTACCTGAGGAGAAAGAACGATCGTGTATTGTGGATCGACGCTATCTGCATCAATCAGGCCAACAAAGAGGAGCGCAGCTATCAAGTTTCTATGATGTCGCTCGTATATACCCGTGCTGAATGCAGCGATCAAAAAAATGCTCACAAATGGCGGGCTTTTCTCCGCTTGATGCAACGCAGCTGGTTCTCTCGTCGGTGGGTAGTACAAGAAATTGCACTCGCTTTCAAAGCGCGTGTTTATTGTGGGCCTGATGAGTTAGACTGGCGAGAGCTCGCTATTGCAGTCGAGCTTTTCGTTGAAGTCGAGACGGCGACCCATCGCCTTTCTGAACTGCTGAGGAAAGATGCTAAAATGGACGTGGTTCCGAACTGGTTCGAGCATATTTCAGAATTGGGCGCCAGCCTTCTGGTCAACGCGACTGCGAGGATCTTCAGAGAATATCAACGAGGCGATCAGGTTGAGGGATTACCCGCACGACGAAGCTTACTTAGCCTCGAGTACTTGGTCACAAGTTTATCGATATTTGACTGCGGAAGACCGCATGATTCCGTATACGCATTGATCGCCATAGCGAGGGATGCAAAGCCAAACCCGCCTACTTCAGTGGAAGAGAAGAGAGATCAGGCTCTGATTATACAACTTTTCGGGGACCAATTAGAGCAGAAACTTTTCTCTCTCGACTACACGAGCCCCTATACCGATGTCTGCAAAGACTTCGTACAGTTTTGCATCGAGGGTTGTGCTAGAACAGATCCTTTCCAAGCTTTGGATATTCTTTGCCGTCCTTGGGCTAAGGACTGGCGACCAGGCGAATCGAAGTGGGATCATGATGAGAATGAAACTGTGCAGAGTCAATCAAAAGAGCGAAAGGTTTCGACGGAAGCAAGTTTAAACGAGCGTGATTGGGAGATATCTTGGTCAGAAGACGCAGAATATCTGTTCGCACCTGGAAAAGTTATTCCAATCTCATCTCAGTCCGGAGCACTAGGAGAAATTGCACAACCATCAAACGAAGAAGGTGGTTTTTCAAGCACTCAACCCGATCTGCAGGATTGGAAGAAAGAATGGCAGATTTATAAACAGAAACGGCATACACACGAGCATTGCGCTGAGTCGCTCAACACCGTGGCGAGGCGACCAAAAACGCACCAAGATACGAGGAAAATGGAAGAGTATTGGAATATTCAGATACCTGGGAGAAGTAACGCTGTGTCGGATTTCATTAAACTTGCCTTTCCTAGACGCAACGATGTCTCCAAAGATCCGGCAGCTGAGCGAAAGCCTTCACTAAGGTTACCTCGTCAAAGCAGTACAGAGCAAGAAAAGGAGTGGCAAAACAAAGAGAAGCTTATAATTGATGAACTCGGCCCCGATCCGAGGTTTGAGGACATTTTGCGTGCGAAAGAAGAAATCAAAGCTATCGACCGTGCAAGATTGAAAGCCGTGAGAGGGAAGGACAGAAGGGGTGTGAAAGTTCCAATGGCGCGAGACAATAGTAGAGTTCAGGAATCTGGCCTTCCGTCATGGGTAGCAAAGATTGACGGCGCACCATTTGACATCTTCCACCATCCCGGAATGGACATGGTGAAGATGGGCCGTAAGAACGCCGACCCGCTCGTTGGTACGCCTCAGGACGGACATCGAAATTACAGTGCGGGGCAGTCAAGAAAAGTCGATCTGGAAACCTTGCAGATCAAACGCAGACCTCACCTTGGTCACTACAGCCTCTACGTGAAAGGATTTTGCTTCGATAAAGTTGCTGAGGTCGCGCAAGTATCACAAGCGGGGGCAATACTAGCCTCATGGTTGGACCTCGCTGGCTGGTCCGAAGCTAGAAGACCCACTGGAGTGAACGGGGATATCGATGATCCGCCTACTGCGTTCTGGAGAACACTGGTGGCCGACCGTGGGTTGAACGATCGCAATCCTCCGTACTACTACGCACGTGCCTGTAAAGAAACCATTCTGAAGGGCGGTATTCGAAGCAATGCAGTTGACACTACCGCTCTTATCTTCAATGAGCGGAATTCCATCATCGCAGAATTTTGTCGACGCGTACAATCGGTAATTTGGAATCGCGCACTCATCAAGACCGAGAAGGGTGCGCTAGGTCTAGTAACAGAAGAGGTGAAACAAGGCGACCTCATCTGTGTCATCTACGGATGTACTGTTCCTGTCATCCTGCGCCGGAACAACGCCAATTTCAAAACCAAGAACGAACAAGATGCCGAAAGACTTGAAGATGGTATTGAAGCAATGAAACGATTGGTTGCCAAGAAGGAGAGATATCGCGACCGTGCATCAAGGTACCAAAAGAAAGAGGACAAAATGCGAGAGAAAATCATGAAGGAGATGAACGACTACAACGCGAAACATCCCCCTGCTAACGACTTCAAGGAAAGAAGGGAGGCTTTCGCTTATACGAAGAAACTTGATAAGAAAAGGCAAAAGCTTGGCGGA